GCTTACCGTGCCCCACGGACCAGCCACACTGTGCCCTCGGGCATCGTCAGTCAGTGACCGCTTACCGTGCCCCACGGACCAGCCACACTGTGCCCTCGGGCATCGTCAGTCAGTGACCGCTTACTGTGCCCGATGGACCGGCCACACTGTGCCCTCGGGCGTCGTCAGTCAGTGACCGCCCACTGTGCCCCACGGACCGGCCACACTGTGCCCTCGGGCATCGTCAGTCAGTGACCGCTTACTGTGCCCAACGGACCAGCCACACTGTGCCCTCGGGCATCGTCAGTCAGTGACCGCTTACTGTGCCCCACGGACCGGCCACACTGTGCCCTCGGGCATCGTCAGTCAGTGACCGCTTACCGTGCCCGAAGGACCGGCCACACTGTGCCCTTGGCATCGTCAGTCAGTGACCGCTTACTGTGCCCAACGGACCAGCCACACTGTGCCCTCGGGCATCGTCAGTGACCACTTACTGTGTCCCACGGACCAGCCCCACCGTGCCCTCGGGCATCGTCAGTCAGTGACCGCTTACTGTGCCCCACGGACCAGCCACACTGTGCCCTCGGGCATCGTCAGTCAGTGACCGCCTACTGTGCCCCACGGACCAGCCACACTGTGCCCTCGGGCATCGTCAGTCAGTGTTACTATTAATAAGACAGAATGAAATTATTTGAACTAAACAGTCAACTGAAGAACTTAGAGAAACAGCACTTTTCTCTTTGTCAGTTTCTCTGCCCCCCCACCCCTGCCAATAAATAGATAGGGAGGGAGACAGCAGAGGGAAGACAGTGGGAAGATAAACTGGCCCAATGGGAAGGTTCAGCGAGAGCAGTGGGCAAACACAGTCATGCGAACAGACCTCCAACAGGCGGTGAGGGTGTAGGGGAAACAGCAGCAGGAACGAGAAGGGAGATTTACAGGCGCAGAAGGAGCTTGAAACAATGTCACATAATACGGTGTGCAAAACGGTACCAGGGGCGGAGGAATTCTGTCCAGTGGTAATAACCAACGCTGCCTCAAGGGGGGTGGACGTTGTTTCAGAGAAGTCATTGAGAAAGTTACTTTTAAAGTCCTTTAGAAACAAAACTATTGTCCACAGGAAATTCTCGGCAAAGCAGTCAGAGGAGAGGAGAGCGGAAAAGGGTGACTGATAGAGAAGGAAGCAGCAAGTAGAGTAACTCACACGGGACGTGATACGTGGAAGAACCCAAGAGGATGAGCTGATAGGACCTATCTAGAGAGAATTTAAAAAGTACCCGGTTATCAAATTAATGTATGCCAGATGAATTCTATATGACAAGACTCATGATAATGGGGAAAAATCCCATTTAAGGTACAAAACGCTGAATCATTCTATTGTGCCCCTGAAACTAACCCAATAAAGATTGTACACCAACTATACTTAAAAATAAATGTTAAAGAGACCAGTACTCTGTGAACTCTCAGGGTGGTCAGCAACGCTGAGACTTCACTGTCGACGGTCCTGCCGCTTGGTTTGCTCCTAATAAGTTTTGGACTATTTTATTTTTTTATGATCGTACGTATGGATTGGTTTGTGGTTTTGTTTTATTTGTGGTTTTGCGGTAACTACTTTGTTATATATAAGCGATTCTGATTTTGTTTTTTTTGTTGTTTTTTTTTTATCCTCACCCAAGGACATTTTTCCATTTTTTTGTTCAGATAGAGTGGGAGGGAGAGAGAGGAAGAGAGAGAAACATCGACGTGAAAGGGACACATCGAGTGGCTGCCACCCGCTCGACCAACCAGGGCCGGGGACAAACTGCAACCGAGGTACGTGCCCTTAGCGGGAACCGAACCCGGGTCTCTCTGGACCGCAGGCTGACTCTCTAACTGCTGAGCCAAACTGACCAGGGCCAATTCTGATTTTGTGTGGCTTGCTGGCAGCGTGGCCTCTGAGATGACGAGTTAAATTTCATCATGTGCGCCGTCCACTCTGCCAGTCACTCCTGAGAAGCTGTGAAACCCTGTCCGTAGGTGTGTAGGTGCTGCGTTCTCTCCAAGCGCTCTGTCGGTTTGTTATATGCCTTCTTTGTAGCCATTGCTTTTTGTTTGGTTTTTAACCTGGGCATTTTTGTTTGATAGAATTAAATTTCTGAAGGGTATAAAGAAGTCAGCAAGATTACCGTGAGTGCTAAGTAAGTGTGACTGCTGCTCTTTCCAGGGGAGTCCAGTTAGATGCCCGAATGGGTCATCTGTCTTCCCTCTCCTCTTGCTCTGAGCTTAACTCTGTGTTAGTGTGTCTGTGTCTGTGTGTCTGTGTGCGTCTGTATTTGTGTGTCTGTGTCTATGTCCATGTCTGTGTTTATATTTGTGTCTGTGTGTGTCTATATTTGTGTCTATGTCTGTGTCTATATTTGTGTCTGTGTGTCTGTGTGTGTCTGTGTCTATGTCCATGTCCGTGTTTATATTTGTGTCTGTGTCTATATTTGTGTCTGTGTCTGTGTCTGTGTCTATATTTGTGTCTATGTCTGTGTCTGTGTTTATATTTTGTGTCTATATTTGTGTCTATGTCTGTGTCTGTGTCTATATTTGTGTCTGTGTCTGTGACTATGTCTGTGTATCTATGTGTCTGTGTGTATCTGTATCTGTGTGTCTGTTTCTATGTCTGTGTCTGTCTGTTGGGTGTAACAGACAAGCGGCTGCTGTTCTCTGAGCTGTAGTTGTGATGCTGACTCTTGTACACTCACCATCCCATTTCGGTACCTGTGCCCTGCAGAGGCGTCATGAACTCTTCCCGCTGTGCTCATTCAGGGACTTTGACCAAGGCCCAGATTTGACCGGGGAGAGCTGCCTAGCCCGGTCCCAGCCTGGCAGTGTCCCTGAGTGCGTCTCATCGCCTCTGTGGTCCTTCTGTCCCTACGTGCAGTCATTCTTCCAAAGCCATCAAAGGAAAAGTCTTGTTTGTGAACAATGGCCGTCACGTATGAGGAAACGTCAGTGAACGTGGGAAGGCAGTCACAGTGTGGTGTGAGGATGAGGGCAGGTGCGGTTTGGGAGAGAGCCAGAAGCCGGTAGACGTGAACCCTATTTGTACCCGGGGGTTCCCAGAGGCCGGCGGGCATGACGCGTGTGTTTCCACCCCGCGTGGGGCGTGCTCTTCGGCGATGATGAACGCTGAGTGCTCTCCGCATGGTTTCCACTCGTCGTCCAGTCTCACCGCGCTTTGTCGGAACGCCGTCTTCACAGCGCGTTAGCGAAGCGGCCCTACGGCACCGTGTGGGTCGGAAGGCTTCTTCACTGTCTACGGTAGAAAGCTCCCCCCACACACACACAGAGCGATCGTGAGAGCACGGATCACAGGTGTTGCCCACCGTGAAGTGGGCCCACAGCGACGGGGCGGGGTGAGCCCCACGCACCTTCACGGACCGGACGTGAAGGAGAATGAGAGCAGAAATAAGAGAGAACAGACGGTAGTCTTCACGGGACAGCAGCTGAGGTCAGAGCTGCAGCCTTGGCCTCTCCCATCCGCTCCACAGACAGCTTCTGGGTTCCTGTCGAACGCCAGGCATGTCGCTAGCCAAGGACATGGAACTGGAGAAACAGAATCTCGGAGCCCAGATGTGTCGAGTCCAGCAGAGAGGCACACCAAGCTATGGCGCTGAGGGCAGAAAGGAGGTGCCCCGGAGCTCACTGGGCAGGACCTGTGAGGTCGCCGGGTCTCCAGGAAGGGGAGCTCGGGGAGCGTGCGGGCCAGCGGACACGCACAGGTCAAGGGTCAGTGGGAGCTGCGAGCATGAGGTGAAAGGGCATGGAGCAGTGCAGTGGGGCGAAAGGTGGCCTCCGGGGCCCGGCTGAGCTGGGGCTCGGCTTGCACACCTACGCACACTACCTGCGTGGCCTTGCGCAAGTGACTTAACCTTTCCGAGACTCGGTCTCTTCCTCTGTGGAATGGGCTGGCCACACCCACCTCACTTAAATCGGGAGACAATTTGTAAACCACAGTGTTTGGCACAAGGCCTGCCGCACGGTGTGCAGCGAGTGGATGCTGTTACTACAGATTCAGAGACCGAAGCGATGAGGACTTGAACCACACTGCTCCCCAGAGGTAGGAGGTCACCCAGTCCTCCCAGAGGCCTCGAGGTCAGAGAACAAAGGGTTCCGTAGAGATCTATCCCATGTTGATGACATGCTTGACTTCCGAAGAGAGGCCAGGCCGTGGAGGGTCATGGTTTCCTTCAGAGATGAGTTCTGCATTTATTTCTAGGCAGAGTGTCGTTTTTATTTGCGGTGCCACAAGTAGACTCATGCGGCCCTGGCCAGTTTGAGCGGTCAGAGCATCAGCCCGCGGACCAAAGGTTCCATTCCCTGTCCAGGGGCAGGTACCTGGGTGGCAGTTTTGATCCCTGGCCCTGGTTGGGTTGTGCGGGAGGCAACCAATCGGTGGGTCTCTCTCTTATGTTGATGTTTCTCTCTCTCTCAAAATATCAATGGAAAAATAGCCTTGCATGAGGAATAGCAAAAGAAAAAGCAGAATCCTGCAAACATGACCCTCCTCGACAGAGGCCCGTATTTGCGACCGGAGCCCGTCTGTGCGAGGGCCTGTTGTCTGCGGTCTGCTTCATGTGTGACTGTCCTTCCGAACTTGCGGTTTCTTGGCAAGGAGAGCATCTGCATGGCCCAGAAGTATGACATGCACCGAAATCATTCCCTTGGCAAGGGTGCAAACATCCAGTTAGTCTCCAAAGGACAAGCTGTCCTTGGGGACTCAAGTGACCTAAAATTCACAAGCGATTCTGGAAGGAATTAGCGCTCCGGGATTTTTCTGCACAGCCCATGTGTAGGACCAGTGGAATGGGTTCTCGGGTCCCAGTTTCCTTTGTGTTTGCAGCTGGCACTGTGCTGGGAGGAGTGGCTGGCTCGTTCGGCGACACCAGGCACCCCCGCGAGGAAAGGATAAGACAGTTCGGGGGGGAGGGTCGCAGAGTCCATCGGCTCTGACCGTCCCCCGCAGCATCTGCTTCTCCTCTTGGCCACCACAGGGGTTTGCCAGCTCGTCAACAAGATGGAGGAGAACACGGGCCAGGTGAAGCCTTTCAACCGGAACGACGAGCAGTTTCTGGAAGCCTTCGTGATCTTCTGCGGGCTGGGCATCCAGAACACGCAGATGTACGAAGCCGTGGAGCGAGCCATGGCCAAGCAGATGGTCACGCTGGAGGTGAGCGCAGCCGGGCACCCCCGGTGCCCACGGCCGACAGGCAGGTCCCCCTCCCCCTCACGACTCTCCAGTCTGCTCTGTCACCTGCCCTCACGGGCTCATGGGCCCCACGTCCCCGAGTCCTTCTGTCCTCATTTAAGTAGCTAAGGAAACAGACCCTAATATTCCAGAAACTCGTCAAAGGTCATGACCAAACCACCACTCAGGCGCACGGTTTGTCCCATCTGTCCTCTGCTTTTTTGGCAGAAAGCAGTCCTTGACCCGAGTCAGCCATCCACACAGATGGTACCGCCTGGCCCGTCTCGCCTGGCCACCCGCTGTAATCACACAGTTTCAGAACCAAAGACAGAAACCCTGGTGCTCACAGACGATCAGAAGTAAGGGAAACAGAGAACCACCGTCCATCTAGCAGAGTTCACATGCCTAGACCAGCCACTTCCCCATCTCTCGGAAACGCTGTTTAGAGAGGTACAGACAGCTCCTGAGTGTTCCGATTGAGTCTTGGGTAGAGGCCGGGGATCTGCGAATCCCTGAGCTCCCACAGTGAGTCCAGCCCTGCAGGGGCCAGGGCACTGCTGGCCGGGGCGCTGGCCCCATGCAGGCCCCTCGCGGCAGGACCAGCCCACCCAGGGGCAGCCCCTTCCACGTGGACTCATTAACTTCCGTGAACATGTGCACTTCATGTACCACGGAAATTTCCTTCATCACAGTCCGGTCTAGGGACACAGACTTCGAAGACTGCCAGTGTCTCTCCTCGTCGTGCATATGTAGGTGTGAGATAGAGTGTTGACCTGCTCTTGTCCGGTTGAGATGAGCTGGAATCAACGTGTGGGATATAACTGTTCCCGGTCCGTAATGAACCCTGAAGAGTTAGGAAGTTAGCGCCTTATACGTCGAGAGTCAGCCATGACCAGGATGACTCTTCACTCCCTCGGGTGAATGTAGAACACTGACAGTTTTGCTATGGTCTCATGTAAGGTTAGACCGCAGATCGTAAACCAGGGGAAATCTCGGTTCCAAATACACACACACACACATGTTTAGATGATACACACACACATACACGTGTACATACAGTTTCAAAAGTCTGAAAATGGTTTTCTTTTTAACAATGATCCTAAAACGTTTAGAGGTTTCTTGTACCTCTGTGTTGTCTCTGACAGAAGTGAACGTTCAGAAACATGTTTTAAAAGCGTGATAGACATTTGAAATACAACCGCCACCCTGGTTCAAAAGATTGTAATATTATCCCACTGCGTGAGGGTCTCACTCTTGAAAACGGGCAGGGGTGATCCCTGGGTCCAGTGGTAAGAGACAGTGAGCCTGTCCGTCTAACCCTGTGGGGTCGTGGACAGCGCTGCAGGGCAGGAGCGGGGAGCTGGGCCGAGGCCCTCCAGCCTTCTCTGGGGTGAGCTCGCAGCCAGGGCAGGGGAGCCCCTGCACGTGGGTGACCTCGGCTGCCGGGGGACGGGTTCCTAGGCCGGCACCTCTCTGCACAGCTCTGAACCCTGTGAGTGCGCAGGGGTCCCTGGATCGGTGGCAGGGACACCCGAGCCATGCGGTTTTTCTTCATGAATTTTGCGGGGTCACAGGCCTCCCCTGAGAGCTGCTTCCAGACGACTGCTTTCCAAATGGCAACATTAAAATGTCAGCCTGTGCAGAGGTTGTTTTCCTAATCCCGTACATAAGCACACGGAACGCAAGTCAGTTTGAAAAAAAATAAAACACAGACCATTGAAATTCAATGTTCTGCCAAGTTCGAGCCCGCGGCTTTACACAATGTGTTTGTGATATCCGCAGTGCCAGGCTCAAAGTGAGCAGCCTTCTTGGAACATGGGGAGAATAACTCTGCTTTCCAAAACAAACAACCGAATTGAAATCTGGGGTTTTCTGTCCGTTGCAGAAAACACACCAAACCTTGACATCCGAAGAGTCTAGTTCTCCTTCCGAGAAGTCTTCGCAGAATCCCAAGCTTGAACTTCGAGGCCCTGTTGGTGTCCTCTCGTGTAACCTGTCCCGTCTCCGCCCGCAGGTCCTGTCCTACCACGCCTCGGCGGCGGAGGAAGAGACCAGGGAGCTGCAGTCCTTAGCGGTAATGCCCTCCTCCTCCGCGGAAACCATTCACAGAGCGCCTCGCTCACACAGGGGGCCTTCCTCGGGGTGGCTGCGTCCACTGGTAACGGTCCCCGAGACACTTGGTCCAACGCGGTAAATATTTAGATGGACACTCGTAAGAATATGTAACTCCAATTTCCTGCAGGGCTGAAAGTGACCGATAATCCAAAGCAAAGGGAGTGACTTATATTGACTTGTCTGTCATACATTATGTGATTCTGGGTGGGTTTTTTTTTTACTCCTGATCATTGTTCTAATCTTTACATTTATCTTAGGCCAAGATTAAATTCAGTTTCTGGGCAAATGGGGCCCGGTGACCCCAAAGTGGTTGCTCAGTGAGGGTCATGACAAGACTTGATAGTGTGTCACCAACGACCTTTCCTGTGTCACTGAGAATTGCGAGTGATTTTAGTTCCTGAGCATGTGGCCTGGGAAGTGTTATTTGAAACTGGGCTCTTGTTCCTGACCTCTCATTCCTCGCTCGCCGGGTGCGCTGACAGGTGCGCTCGCTGTGTGCACTCCCTGTGTGCACTCGCTGGGTGCACTCGCTGGGTGCGCTGACCGGGTGCGCTGACAGGTGCGCGCTCGCTGGGTGCGCTGACAGGTGCGCTCGCTGTGTGCACTCCCTGTGTGCACTCGCTGTGTGCACTCGCTGGGTGCGCTGACCGGGTGCGCTGACAGGTGCGCTCGCTGTGTGCACTCTCTGGGTGTGCTGACCGGGTGCGCTGACAGGGAGAAGCCCTTTGGTCTGGAAATGGAATGTCGCAGGCTGCACGTGTTGGTGGACGCGCACGCAGGTCTGAGGTGTTAACACTTCGACACCAGGGCTGGCCTTCTGTGTTTCATTTTGAGACGACACGGGTCAGGCCTGCGTGAGATGTGACAAGGGTCATGTAGGGAATGACAAGGGCGTGGCCAGGTCATGGAGGTTCACTGTCATTGGCTTCAGCCTCGTGGCCCACCACATGCGGCCCTCTGAGCCCACCCCTGCCGTTCCTCCTGTGAGCTGCGCGACCCTGTCAGAGGCCGCACTGGGGCAAGAGAGGCCAGTAACTGCTCAAGGTCGCTGTGGCCGCAAGTGGGAGCCAGGACACACACGCACACGCACAGACACACACATGCATTCACACACGGCACATGCACACACGCGCGTGCGCACACACATACACATGTGCCTGCGCACATACACACACATGTGCACATGCACACATATATGCACACACGTGCATGTACACACGCGCACACACAGCGCACCTGCAGAGCCGTGCACATCACCACGGTGCTGCCTGTCAGGGGGAGAGGATGACGGTGCCGTTGGTAAGAAGAGGGACTGGAGAGAAGAACCGCCGGCTTGTGCGGAACACGTAAGTGAGGGCTGCAGCGGGACCGCCAGGGGAACGTGCACCATCGGGGGGACGGAGGCGTGGGGGGCTGGGGCTCAGGACAGGAGGCGGTGGCTGGGGAGGTAGCCCTGGGATGAGCGGTCCCAGGGTGCTGGGATCACGGCAGTGGGGCGGTGGGGAGAGCAGAGAGAGCTGGAGTGGGGGGCAGACCCTTGGGAAGGTCGGTTTAGATGGAGGAGCAGGAAAAGAAGAAGCTGAGACACACGAGGTAGACAAACGGAGGCAGCGGAGGACGGCAGAAGGCCCCACGCAGAGCAGGTTCTGGAAGGAGAGGGGGCCCCCGACTTGTAGGAAGGGCGACACAGCACGAGAAGGGGACAGAAGGCCCCACGCAGAGCAGGTTCCGGAAGGAGAGGGGCCCCCGACTTGTAGGAAGGGCGACACAGCACGAGAAGGGGACGAGCCGCCGGTTGAGAGAGCAGCTTCGGGAGCAGAACAGCAGCAGGTAGGAGGAAAGGAGAAAATGGAGGAAAAGGTCATGAGCCGTCTTTCAAAAACAAGTTCTGTGTGACAGAGGAGGAGCTACGAAGGGTGTTGCTGAGTCACAGGAAGTGTTTTGCGTGTGCTCTGTGCCCGTGAGCAGCGTGTTCTCGGACCGACAGGGAAGGAACAGGTACGTGAGACCAACAGTGCAAGTCGGGGTGAGCGCCAGCCTGGCTGGGCCACAGCGCTGCGGAGAGCCGCCCGCGGCCAGGACGACAGGGAGCAGTGACGAGGAGAGACGCGTCACAGCATGCACCACATCCGGGCCGGTGTGCAGCTTGTGTGTATTTAATCCGTGACAAACGACAGGGAGCGGTGACGCGGAGAGACACGTCACAGCACGCACCACATCCGGGCCGGTGTGCAGCTTGTGTGTATTTAATCCGTGACAAACGACAGGGAGCGGTGACGCGGAGAGACACGTCACAGCACGCACCACATCCGGGCCGGTGTGCAGCTTGTGTGTATTTAATCCGTGACAAACGACAGGGAGCGGTGACGCGGAGAGACACGTCACAGCATGCACCACATCCGGGCCGGTGTGCAGCTTGTGTGTATTTAATCCGTGACAAACGACAGGGAACGGTGACGAGGAGAGACACGTCACAGCACGCACCACATCCGGGCCTGTGCGCAGCTTGTGTGTATTTAATCCGTGACAGCTCTCCACGTCGGCATTGGCAGCATTTTGAAACGTGGCCCGAGGTCGAGTGTTCGGGTGGGCCTCCCCGGGTGGCAGTGGGGTGCCAGTTTAAGTCAGGGGTCCGGGCCAGAGCCCACAGCCCACTGCCCAGCGCGGAGAGAGGGTGAGGGAGAGGCAGGGAGGGGGGGGGACTTGGATGCTAAGTTAACTCACTGATGGGCAGGCTGAGCCATTTCCCGAGGGGAGCTTGAGGAACCTGAGGTGACGTTTCCCGAGAGGTTCGCTTCTGTTGGGGTTAACGTCATTCGGAACTGGCTGTATTGATTTTGTTCTCAATGTATTTGAAGGAGTGAGCTTTTTTTTTTTCCAGTTCTTTACAAAGGTTTATAGGATTAAAGTACCTTTCACATCAGGCTTTCTGGGCCCATCTGTCCAATCCTCCTAGAAGGCTCAAGCCTGGAACTAGACGGAACCATGACAGGGAAAGACACGGGTCTGAGTGTTTGCAGGCCCCGTGCGATTGTTATAAAGTGAGGTCAAGGGGACACGCGGCCATGTGTTGTCCTAGGTAAATAAAGGCTAGCATACAGAGCGATGTCTAAAGACAATGCTAAGAAATCGCTAGGCTGCTAAACTTTGCTTTTCACTTGGAAAACAGCAGTCTTTCAGAAAAACCTGAAAATTGTTTTCTCAATTAGGTTTATAGTTTCAGCAAGAGAAAAACACAGTGGAGTGACTGAAAATCCCCGTATTGCTGTATTGTTCAAAAAGCCACCTGTTCCAGTTGGAAAACAGATTTTGGAAGCTGCACCTGGAAGTTTAGGGCATATACCTTGTAGGTCAAATCACTCACTTAAAGTGGTTGAAATTCAGCACCTGATCCTAGTTTTCTGCCCACGGAATAAACATTCCTTTGCAGCCCCAACCACACAGGTGTCTGCGCCCTCCGGCGATTGTTGATCCCAATTTAAAACCTAAAAGAAGTAGAAAAGCTGTCACGCTTTCTTAACCTTTACTTTTATAGATTAGTTCTTAAGGGAATTAAACAGGGCACATATACTAAATATTTATGCCTGTGCCCAGAAACATTCTCTAGTTACACAAAAGTAATTCTGTTGATAGGAAATTCAGAATCCTTATTTTGCCTTCTGCTTTTCTTGAGTTCTTTAGTTTATTGAGTTTTCCGTTTCTAATCGGATAGTCTCGGCTTAAAAGTGGGTGTAGCACACAGACGCCCTTAAACTAAGCCTTCTGCCAGGTACATGTCAGTACTCCTTAGCCATAGGTTATTGCATAAAACGTAAAGGAACCTGACCTAGGTACAGTTATCAGAAGGTAATAAATGTTTATTCATTATAGGTAACTGGATTCTTAATAGATTGGCTGGTTGCCTTTTCTGCCTCCCTCTCTCGTTAGAAGAGCAGGAAATGAATATGTAGTAGGGGTTAGTTTTTTAAAATAAGCTTCTTGGTTTTCTCATGGAGCCGATGTTCATGGAGCCGATGTTGATTCCGTTCCGTCCCCCCGGCCCCTGCTGTGACTTCTGTAACCATGCGAGACAGATGCAAAAGCCAGAGGAGACCCTGCTGTCCAAATAAGGAGAGAGGGAGAAGCTCACCCCTTAGGCAGAATGTGCTGGGACCTCCTCACGACCTTCCCGTCCCTTCTCTGCTGCAGAGAAGGGCACTGAGGGGCAGAGCCAGGCACCCGACCTCTGATGCCCAAGTCAGGGTGAGGGTGTGATCCAAGGCCCCCTACCAAGATGACCACATTCCCTCACTTTTGGGGAAAATCTATATCGATAGCCAAATGATCAATGGAGAAAGTTTGGAGACACAGTAACAAAGACGAGTTGAAGCTGCGATCTCAGTAACCAGTGTCACTGAACTGCAGGGACCTATGGCATCCAGGAAGTCCCCCTCTTCCTGAGTGCTGGAGACACTGTCCTGCACAGTCCGGTCCCTCGGACCTCCTGGGGCCTCCACCGACACGTTCGTTTTTGTGGGGGTCCATAACACGGGCTGGAATGCACAGTGATGACACGACAGGTTCCCTCGTTCTTCCCGACAAGCTAACCTGACCTGATGGCTTCGATTTCGCTAGTGGACTGTTTCCACCGGTGTTCTTGGTGCCCCCAAAATAGCGGGCCCCCTTCCGGAAGTTCTTCCGCACGTAGATGTCTCCAGACGCCGTGTGCTCGTCCCAGCTGAAGTCCTGCATTCGCTCTACAGTTGCACTCATGAGCGCACACGTGTTTCGTCCTCATCGCGACATCATCACATGCTTTGTGTGGCTTTGACACACTGCACGCCCGCTAGCCAACTTGTTTACAGTCTGTGCCTCTTCCCTGTTGAGATGTAAAGGGCTCGGCTCGTATAGCGTTAGAAAGAAGGGGAAGCATAAAGCAGGTCACTCTGGTTACTGGGACTAGACCCATCCGGCCCGGCT